CCCCCCCCCCCCCCCCCCCCCCCCCCGGCTACAGGCCTGACTGAATCTTCATCACCAATCCTTGTTTCTACAACAAGTGAAATCTTTCGAAATCCAATGATCACAGGGACAGAAAGTGATGTGAAATCTTCCGAACAGGGGCAGAGACAGTAAAACAAAGACCATAGAGGTGTTCACCCCTCCACATGCCATCCAAAATACATCTATCTATTTGGAGGCGTACTTCAAAAATTTACCTGTTCTGACTTACATACAAATTCAACTATTTGTATCTTGTTGGTAACTTGGGGACTCCCTGTATTGTATATGGTTTTCAAGATATTATTTTAAATACCATCAGATTGGTATTTAAAAGAATGTTCTTGAAGACCATATACAGTCTTTCCATAAAAAATGAATGACAAAAGCATTTCCATCTTGAGTTGAGTGATTCTGCCATGAGTCACGTTTCCTGTATGCAACATTTTGGTAAATCTGACATGGGTGGAACTGTGGCACAGGGAAAAGTAAGGCCTGAAGGATAACTCAGTTCATTTTATGCTGTAAGATTAAGAGTTCATTGTATACATTGCAGGGCCATTTCTTTAAAATATATATTTTTAAGTGTCAAGTAATCTTGTTTATTAGTCCAAATTAGAGCATATCCATTCAATTGGTTTTTTGTGATTTTTTTTAATAATATAAGAGTTCACCATCATTCAAACAACACGATGTATTACAGACCATACAATCGAAATGCCTATACCACACAAAATAAAACCTCTTCCCCACAGCCATGCAACCTTCACTATGATTTCCAACACTGAAGCACTATGAAGCGTTTAAGACAATGTATCTATTCATTAAATTGTTGAATGATTAGTCAATCCTATTACTTCAACGGCCCATGCCCAATTAGGGCTAACAGTAGAATTTAGGCCTCTATTAACTTTTAAGTCTATCTATAGTCTCATGTGACTTTGTTTAAAAACATGTTTATTCTATGAAATTTACATTTTCTTGTATTTTAATTTCTGTATCCATATTACCGTATTTTCCAACGTATTAGACAACTTTTTAACCCTGGAAAATCCTTGCCGAAGTTGGAGGTTGTCTAATACGCTGGGTATAAAAGATCATTTCCTGTTTTTGGTCCAAAACAAGATGGAGGCTTGGGCAAGGGAGGTGGGCAGCTGACCTGTGCTATAGCCCGAAGCAGCAGCAGCAGCTCCTGCACTCCTCTGGCGCCACTTGGCTCCTGCTGCCAGGCTTCAGCCTCCCCAAAGGGCTCATCCACTCCATGCTTGCCTCAGCTATCAGTGCGGCAGAGGAGGAGGAGGCGATATACTCGTCAAACAGCCACGTTGCCTCCTCCTCCTCCGCTGCCACACTGACAGCCGAGGCAGGCATGGAGTGGAGGAGCCCTTCAGTGAGGCTGCAGCCCGGCAGCGGGAGCCAAGCGGCGCCAGAGGAGCGCAGCTGCTGCTGCTGCTTCGGGCACCCTGCTCCAGCACAGGGCAGCTGCCCACCTCCCTCGCTTGTTAGGAGCCTCCATCTTGTTTTGGACCCAAAACAGGAAATGATGAGCATGGCGGTTGGCTGACTGCGGCGGGGCCTGGCGGAGAGAGGAGGCCATTTCTATGGAGCCAAGAAGCCGCCTCAAGGCCCAGGAAAGGCAACTTGGGGCCTGAAGGGGCTGGCAAGAGGGGTAGTCTAATATGGCAAATATATCAAAACATTAAAATTTTAAATTGAAAAGTTGGGAGGTTGTCTTATGCGCCCAGTCGTCTAGTATGTCAGAAAATACAGTACTGAAAAACTGTTGTTGAATCTGGGTTTTATATATACCCAACTGCTACAGGTTTTAAGATAATTACCTTCCCATCACAACTGGAATTTTCCTGAACTAAGTTGCTTTAAGAAACAAACAAACAACCCACTAAAATCCTTATGACGGTTTACAAATTACTCCTGGGATGCAACCACTGAGAACAGTGCACTGCACCCACACAGGAATTTTCAGGATTCCTCTTCCAGCTGGAGTCCCTTAACAGCTACCTCTCAAGGTAGAGGAATGTTTAAGGAAAATCATTTGGAGTGACATGAGGACTGTGGCTCAGCAAAGGCCAACTTCCCTGTTTCTTAATGGACACACTTGCAATGCGTGCAGAGCACTCTTTGGAAACTAGCCTATCAAACAAGCAAAGGAGATAACACTACAGTTTTCTTTTGTCCTTGTGTCCATAACCGCAATTGAGCACTTCAAATTAAATTTTCCAGCTGACCTTTCATGAAACAGTGTGCTAATTAAATGAATGAAAGAAAGATAACATTGCTCTGTTCCTGTGGATCTGGGATACATTAACTACAGCTCAGATGTATAAAAGGTTTGTTATGCTATAAGAAAAGTACTGGTGCATAGTACTGTGTTTTGAAACTAGCAAACTAAGAGGACACTTGCCACATCTCCCTTCAGTCCATTTAATTAACTTTTGAATAAGCACTGCTGTTCATTTCTCTATTTGCTACAGAAGTGAATGTAACAAAGACATTCAAAGGAAAAGAAAATGGCACCTCTGCCAATTTCCAAATATAATGATTACAGGTTCCAATTAGTGATTCAAATGTGCTAATTACTTTAAGCATGAAATCATTAGCTATGTCTACCAGGACAAATACTAGAAGACCGCGAGAGTCCATTTTCTGCTCTTTTGGCCAATACACAACACTATTAATATGAGCGTGACCTAAAGTAATGACAAACCAGTGTAGAATTCATGTCCTTTCATATAAAATAAACAACAAACTATTTTATTTCCTTGCTTTTTCATGTTGTTTGCACTCAAAGTGTGTATGCCCACAAAATGTATTAAATTTGTAGCTTCAATTCACTACTTTATATGGTAAAGGTCTACTGAAGAGTGTTTGGTGCTTTAAAAAAATACTACACTCCCATCATTTATAATTGTCGACTACTTTATTGTAAAGTACATACAGCATAATATGCTGATGAAAAGCTACTGGGAAACCTAGAAGAAACCTAAAATTCTCCTAGTAGGAAAAACTAAAGTACAGGCTGTAAAGCAGGGTTTCTGGGTTTTGGGGTTTTTTTTTTTTTTTTGTGAAAGCAGGGTTCTGTGAAAGGTTGTTAGGAGTCCATGGCAAAAGATCGTGATTGAAAAAAGATGTTTGAACCGTAGATTTAGTAGTTTTTATGCACGAGTTTCTCAAGACTTGAAAATTATTTTTACCATTCCTTAGGGTAAATGGGCAGATAAAGGTTACTATAAATTGTATCTTGGTACTCAAAATTAATGCAGTTAGACACCACTTTAATTGCCACATCTTCATGCTTCTCAGCCAAAGCGTGTTGGTGCCTCATCAAACCAACTTGTATGACTCCATAGCAGTTCAGCTATGACAGTGAAAGTGGCATCAAAGTGGACCAGGCTTTAGCACAGCCGGTTCACCACCATCTGCAATAAATCTTGCCAATTGGAAAGGTTGGCAGCCCACTGCAAACTTAGTAGATCGAAAACAGCTGTAAATAGATAAATAGGTACCGCTTAAGTGGGGGCGGGGGGCATTTTAATGACACCATAAGGAAATATCAGAAAAATACCGGTGATCCAAAAAGGAGGAAGTCTGTGAACAGGGCTCTTCAACATGGAGGATGAAATGGCAGCACCTCTGTCCCAGCGTGGCTGGAATCAAGCACAACCTCCCAATGGGAAATGCCTATATATCTCTATCTGTACAGTTGTCTGTCTTGTCATTGTGTAACGGAATTGATTGTTCGCCGTATATGTGTTCTGTGACCGCCCTGAGTCCCCTTTGGGGTGAGAAGGGCAAACTATAAATACTGTAAATAAATAATAAATTAATTCTACAGAGTAGATGAACCCCCAGGGGTAACAAATGAACAATGTAATTTTATGCAGCTATAATCCCAAATAAGATAGTGTTAAAATAACCAGAACAGCAGCTATTAGATGAAAGTTGTTCAATGTTCCATATCGATCAAGATACCTTCAGAAGCTGTTTTCCAACTGATGGGCTCATCTTTTCATCCACCATAAGAATGACTATTCCTCTATCATCCATGCCACGGCGGCCAGCACGACCAGACATCTGAATATATTCCCCTGAGGTGATCTGAAAATAAAAGAGCATGGATAATGATAATACCTTGCTAGCACTCAGTGTTACGCCAAAGGAAGCCTCACTGCTGCCTTGACAACTGGCAATTGAGGAGCATACACTACAGTCTAAATACACTAATTCAGGGTGAGCAATCCCTGCAGGCCTGGGGGCTGCTTTTCAGGTTGGGCAACAGCTTGAAAATGGCCTAGCCAAGCGGAACGGGCTAAGAGGAATCAGGGGGGCTTAGTGACACTTCACTTTTCAATATATTTCATTTTTTATGTTTACATATAATAAATAATAAAAACTTTATTTTCCGCTCTATCTCCCCGAAGGGACTCGGAATGGATTCCAACAACAAAAAGGCAAACATTCAATGACTGAACATAATAATAAACAATAAAATCTTCCTATTAATTATTAAAAAAACTTTTATTCGTGTTTATAAATCATTACATTTATATTAACATATAATGCAACTTTAAATCTATTTAAATGAATTTTAACATAATGTTGATAATAAAATGGCTCATATTTGTACTTTCCCCCACTGATTATGCTGAATTTAGCAAAGTGGGGGGATTTTTCAGTTAAAATTCACCAATAAAAATCTGCAAACCAAGAAAGAAATGGGGGATATTGACTCCATTGTCAGAATATTATCCCACACTACACCAAATGGTTGCATTCTGCAGCTGAATTGTTGCTTATATTGAGTACATATGTTCCCATTTAGAGGGCAAATCTGCTTTTCCAACCTGGATTCATGTACAGGATGATGCAATTTGCTTACCCATCGGAAGTCCTTCCCATCAAACTTCCGGGCACTTGTGAATAGCACTGTCCTTGCTGGCATGTTTATTCCCATTGCAAACGTTTCTGTTGCAAATAACGCCTAAACAATCATAGCATGAATAGAAAAATTATGTTATAGACACTATTTTTGCAGCAAAGCTTGGCAACAGGAAGTTCAGTGCTCTATCCAGCTCACAATATAGTCTGATTCCCGACATGCCTTTTTATTAGCAATCTTCTTTTACTTTAAACAATTAAATGGCTCTTTAAGTCACACCTGCAGTGCAGACATAAACAGGCATGTGCCAACAAGCATACGATTGTGTGTGATGCTAAATAACCTTATTCTACGACTGTCATGCATACGCAAAAGGCTTCAATTAGAGGGCTCCATTGCAATCTCTTACCCTGCAAGCTGAGGAGATAGATTAAAATAAACAATGTTTTATTCTTCTCTGAAGGTTTAATTGGTTAAGTCAACAAGAAGTACCAATCAAAATATTTCTTGCTAATTAAGATAATATCTGCTTGGGATGCACAGTGGACAGATGTCTTGTTGATATTATATCATTTAAAACTCTCAAGCTGATTTTAAATATATTGAAAAAAATTGATAAACGAGTTTTGATAAACCATATATTGGCCCACAGCAAATTGAGAATCTTGAATACATTCTATTTTTTATTTTTTATTTTTTAAAAAAACTGTAATCTGTAAGGGAAACCACAATAAAAACACTTTCATTTCTTATAATATGTACCTTTATCAGTCCTTCAGAGAAAAGTATTTCTATTGTCTCCTTCAGAATAGGAAGCAAACCTCCATGGTGAATTCCAATGCCACGCTTCAGAAGCGGCAGCACATGCTCAACCTGTGACCAGAAATTGAAAAGAAGGGATAGAATACTATGTAACATGATTTTTGTTCCTGGGTTATAAATGTCATTTCCTAATCAGTTCTATCATAAAAACATGGGGAAAAGTTATTAAACCGCAAAGACTTTCTTTTTGTTGGACATCCTGCATCCCATTTTGCTAGTTTTTCCATATCTCATAGAGTCTCAACCAATTCAACACAGTTTGTGGCAGCCACAAAAACAAAGTTGCTTGAGTACAAAAACTACTTTTAAAGTAAGTACTGTGCACTTTCAAACAAGGAATAGAAAAAAAAATTCAAATTCTGTTACACAGTGTAAGCTAATCACATGAAAACTGAGTAGCCACTGCCTGTTTGCATGCACTGAGTAAAAATTTTCTCCATGCTACTTGCCAGTAATATACAAAAGATCAGGCATGGGCAAAACTTGGCCCTCTAGGTGTTTTGGACTTCAACTCCCATAATTCCGGTAGGGTGTTAGGAATTAAGGGATTGAAGTCCAAAACACCTGGAAGGCCAAAGTTTGCTCATGTCTGCAAAAGATAGTTCTTATTTTAGGCCCTAAATAACCAATGTAACCATGTAAGTGTGGGCAATGTAAATTAGCAACAATTGGTAAGCCAGAAAAATTTGTGGATTTAGTCTTATATTTTAAAAAGGGATAATACTGTTAGGAACATTTAACTTTGTTTTCAAAGTTCTGTTCACATTGTCTAGGTTTAACCTCCACCCATTCAACCTCATTCAGAGCATTGTATTTATAAACAAATTCAAGAGCACTAGGATGAAACCAGATGCTTGGGATTACGCTAGGAATTACTTTTGGTGGCCGCCAAACATAAACTCCATTTAATGTACTAACCTTAAAAGGCACAATAATAGTCTAGGGAAGTCTGATTCCCCTTCTCTGAATACTTGAAAGCCAATTTTGAGAAACTATAAATGTTTACAAGCTAAACCTAACACTGCAATGCATCCAGCTGCCATATGGCAGTTTTATACAACTCTGACCTGCTGGAAGAGCACTACGTAGATCAATCCTACTGGACTGTATCCAACTGCTTCCTTCCATTTACTGAAGGCTCTTTGAGCCAGAAAAAGGCTCCATGAAAAACAGAGGGAAGGCCATTTTTGCTTCACCAAATCTGCTTCACAGTAGGCAGAATGTAATATATGCAGAATGGGAGAATTCATATAAATCACCCATTTCTCTGAGGAGCCCCTGATGGAGAAATGGGTTAAACCCTTGTGCTGGCAGGACTGCTAACCAAAAGGCTGGTGGTTCTAATCTGGGAAGCGGGGTGAGTTCTTGTCTGACAGCTCCAGCTTCCCCTGTGGAGACATGAGAGAAGCCTCCCATAGGATGATAAACATCCAGACGTCCCTTGGGCAACGTCCTTGACGATGCCCAATTCCCTCACAGCAGAAGTGACTAAGTCGTGCCTGACATAGAAAAAAAACCCTTTCTCTCACAGAAACACCTACTGGGTAGAAGAGCATTCTACAAGAGAAATATTAGAAATACAAGAGGAAACACATTATTGGACTGGACATTCTATAACAGGCATGGCCAAACTTCAGCCACCAGGTAAGCTGTTAAGAATTTTGGGAGTTGAAATCCAAAACACCTGGAGGGCCATACTCTGCCCATGCCTGGTCTATAATGTCTGAAGAAAAAAACGTCCACTCAAATAGATAGGTTGAGCCACAGTAAGCATAGTATCTTTGTCTGTTTCCATGACACATACTTCACTTAACAGACAATTAAGGTCATCTACACATAGGAAATCTGGCAGAAATGGCAATGGAGTATCCACAGGTCTAAAAATTGCCTAGTACTGTATAGAGCAGAGTTTTCTAAACTGCACAGTTGCAGTATGTAGCTGTGTCATATAACAAGAAAATTTTGAGTCTACGTGAAATAAGCCATAAATCATATAAATGAAAGGCTTTTATGAGATAGATTGTGCCCCCATTCATTTTGTCATTACAATTTATGTGTATCGGCTTTATCACATCAGCTGCAGCTGCAGTAAATCTTCTAGGTCGAAGATCTTGCGGATCGAAAGCAGCAATGTAAGTAGATGAATAGGTACTGCATTAAGCAGGGAGGTGTTTTAGGCTCTTTGGCAAGGAGATGGGACGACAGCACCCCCGTGTGGCCGGAACTGAGCATAGTCTCCAAAGATGCCGAAATATGGGGAAAAGCCTATATACTGTAAATACCTCTATTTGTTGGCTGTCTTGTCATTGTATAATTGGCATTGAATGTTTGCCATATATGTGTTCTGTGATCTGCCCTGAGTCCCCTTCGGGGTGAGAAGTGCAGAATATAAATACTGTAAATAAATAAATAAATAAATAAATAAATATGTCTATATCTCTTATAAGGGTTAATCTAACCCTCAGTTTGCTACTTAAACTCGATTACTGTGTTGCCAAAATGATGCATGTCTAAAAAAATGTATCACCAACATTCAATGTTTGGAAAGCTCTGGTATAAAATAAAATAGGGACTGATAGCAATGTAATTACTTTGCGGCTGAGAAAATATGAATCTTTCATGAATACGTGTGACATGTAAATAACCCCTATACCTAAACCGGTGTTAGGCAAATAACGAGTTTACAAGATGTAGTTTTTTTTTTCACTTTAACTCAGCTCTGCCAACAAGACCCTTGTCCAAAATAGGTGCGTGTGTGTGTGCGTGTGTGTATGTGTGTGTGTGTTTTGGGGGGGGGGGGTGTCACACATTTAGAATGTAAAAATGGAGTGTAGTTTTAAGTAGGAAAAATTGCTTAATTCCTGGCTGTTTTGATTTTTCTGGCCCACAGTAGTTTACTTTATTAAACAACTTGAAGACCAAAAACTGCTATTTGATGATCAACTTCAAATTCCCCATGTCTAAAAAGTTAGCTCTGAAATACCTTTTGCCCCCCTCTGCTTGCTTGTACACACATCTTTAGTGATTTAAGATACTCACTTGTGGCAGTTTTTTGTCCTCATCAGATAAACAGTCAATTGCATTATTAAACACTTCTTCAACCATCTTTTTTTCTTCATCTGAAAAAAAAATCCAAACAAAAATTTACTTTTCTACAAAGCATCCCTGCAATGTCAATAACAAAAGAGATAGCAAAGTGTCATTTTTTACAGTACTATAAGTTTTTATATATTTTTTCCAGGAAGTATGACAAGTACAACTACTTTATTGTGGAAAATGAGCTGCCAACTGCTGAAACACTTTTACACCAGAACATGTTTATTGGATTATCAAAGCAAAATGTCAAATTTAGAAATTCTGAGTGATCCAAGAGACTGCAGAAAAACAAAACAAAATATAATTTTGCAATGTTTATTTACTAGCAATGCGAAGTAACTAAATATTCTTTAGATTTGTTTTTGCTAAAGCCGTAAGACTGATACAATCAAGAACAGAACCAGTCACCATATACAACAAAGATAAACAAAACCAGCAGGTTGAGGATGCTAGCTAGGATCAAACACAGAAATAATTCTGTAAGCCAAAGATGGTTTAAGCTTGTTTTTAACTCAAACAACAGTCTCCTATATTGTATAACAAATAAACAAGAAACAAATAATCAGTTGATCAGAAACAATGCCGACTGAGAGCAAACTGTCAGTTGGAAGTGATTAATACATACCTGTATTGAAGTCCAATTTTGTCATTTGAAGTGCATATGCTTCACAATCTTTTTTACTGAAACTAAATATTATTACAGGTTGAAAGTTTCTTTCCATAATCATCTTTACAATCTTAAATACATTGGACGGACCTATGAAAACAACAAAGAATTTTTTGTTTGGGGGATGCAATGATATTATGGTATTTTGCGACGCATATTACATAAAAAGCTTAAAACCCACCTTTTGTTCCCCCTTTCCTCCCTTTTTGGTCTCCTTTGGCTAAGTCACCAGCGTCTCGAAGTACTTGCATTGCTGTATTAAAATTATCTTCCCTAAAATCACCCTGGAGATAAAGTGAACATTAACACAATGTTTAATCTGCATTATTTGAACTATAGTTTATTCCAGCTATTATATGAATCTGGGATTTCACTCTAAACTGGAGCACCTACAGTCAAACTAACTAAATTTATTTCACACTTTCTTGGCTATCAGGTTCTTAACATATTTCCCACTTTTTGGCTATGAGGTTCTTGTCCATTTTAATTTGTTCCCCTTTAATATACATTTAAAAAAACAGACAACAGCAAAAACCTCTTAATATTTGCATAGGAACTGAACATTCACAGTGAACAAAAAAACTAAGAAATGGCAACAGGCAAGAACAATTAGGGCATAACTGTTTGGATCCATGGACAGAAGCACTCAACACAAACAGGGTCAGCTAACACCTCTCAAGAAAGGATGCCTGCCATAGATGTGGTTGAAAAGTCAGGAGAGAATGCTTCTGGAACATGGCCATACAGCCTGGAAAACTTACAGCAACCCAAGAAAAGCTTGTTTGGACAAAGATCCAATGGAATGCACACATTCATTTAATGTTGTGTTCAATAAAAGAGGTTGAAAGTCCAAGTTTTCTAGATTTGGTTCTCATTTTTCATTTCACATCGTGATATTGAACATTACAAATAAAGACATCACCTATTCCAACCCAATAAATAATTTCTTACATTTTCATCAACCACAAGGTGAAGTCCGTCGCCCCCTGCTGGGAAAATATAGTGTTGCAGAGGAGTGGGCCGGTAATCTGTGTAGATCACATGGCAAGGCTGGCAGATAAAAACATAACACGTAAAAAAATTCATTTATACCAGGCATGGGCAAACTTGGGCTGTTGGGAATTCTGGGATTTGAAATCCAAAACACTTAGAGGACCAAAGTTTGCCCAATGTCTAATTTATACATGATACAGAGCGGATCGGAAATGTTCTGGCTTCATGTTTATCCTTATAACAAAGCAAACAATGAAACTAAGACAGCACACTCGAGGGGAGAAAAAAAGTGAATGACCAAGGACTGCCAATGGAAAGCTGCCATTTTTAATTCGAATTTAAGATTTTATGAAACCGGAGGCAGCTAAAGGTGGACTGCAATACACAAGCCACTGAAAACAAACTGGTTTGATGGAAACAAGCTTAATCAATTGGAACACTTGATACAAAATGGAAGAGGTAGAGAGAAAAATAAAAATCTGAAAGGAATAACCAGAAAATTATATAAGATATTAAAGAATAACAAACTCAAGGAGATTTGGGAAGAAGACTTAGGGATAGAAATAAATGAATGGAGTGGTCACAGTTATGGAGACAGAGATATTGGAAAAATTTATCAATACGAGTTAAAGAAAATTATTGTAAGATATATGGAAATGATATGTAACACCAATAAAAATAGCAAATATAAACAAAAAAATTCAAACATTGTTGGAGAGGATGCCAAGAAGTGCGTATATATATATATATATGTGTGTGTGTGTGTGTGTGTGTGTGTGTGTGTGTGTGTGTGGTGGCAATGTAAATATGTAAGTAATTTTTGGGGAAGTGTATTTAAAGAGATAGAGGATATAATGGATATCAAAATAGAAATAAGTCATAGATTGCTTTATTATTATTATTATTATTATTATTAGTATTATTATATATAACAATAAATTGTTGCATAAAGAGGGAAAAGTTGCTACTGTATATCAAATTTATTAACAATAGCAAGACTGCTTATAGTAAGGAATTGGAAAAGGGAAATAAAGACATAAAGAGAAGAGTGGTATAAGGAAGCATAAAAATTGGCAATAATGATAAGCTGACATGTATATTAGAAGTTAAAAGAGGGATATAGAATCAAAATGATTTTGATGATGTATGGAGAAAATGTATTGAAAGAAGATTTAAAAAGAAAAACGGAAAATTACTTCCACAAGGGGAAACGAAATTTTGGACAGAGTAAACATAAAAGAAATGGCTTGAGAGGGAGGGGGGCACGGTGGTGAGGGATAGAAAATATGTATGCATAAGTGTGAAAATAACAGTAGATGCTAAAGAAAAAAAATGTATTGCATACTGTAATACATTACATTCCATCTGAACATGAGGAAGAACTTCCTGACTGTGAGAGCTGTTCAGTAGTGGAACTCTCTGCCCCGGAGTGTGGTGGAGGCTCCTTCTTTGGAGGCTTTTAAACAGAGGCTGGATGGCCATCTGTCGGGGGTGCTTTGAATGAAACTTTCCTGCTTCTTGGCAGGGGGTTGGACTGGATGGCCCACGAGGTCTCTTCCAACTCTATGACTCTATGATTCCATGTATTAAATATTAGGTGTCTAGCGTAAAACAAATGATGTATAACAAATGTTTTGCATTATGATAAAATAAATAAAAAATATTTCTTAAAAAAAAGAAAATAAGCTGGTTTGAATTTAACATTTATTTTTGTAGAGGAATGGGGCTTTTAGATGCTACTGCTTAATTTCAGCATCTGGGCAAAATTTCAGTTTCAACATCAAGTCAACTATTCTAAAGGCAACAATTCCTCCAAATGAAAGGTATTCTATACACAAAATATTACCTGTTTGTGAAGATGGCATATCCATTCGGCAAATTGGCGTGCATTTGGAATAGTGGCAGAAAGAAACACATAATGAACATTATCTGGCAGCAAAATAATGGTTTCTTCCCATACCACACCACGTTCTACAAAGAGAAAATTCCCAAGTTAGATTACAAGGCACCCATACAGTACTTCTATCAGTCTTATTTGAGGGAGGCGGGGAGGGAGTTGATTTTGTATATTGTAATTCACTGGGCTTTTCTCAATATCAAGAAATAGCACCCTAAGATCTACAGAGATACTCGCAGAAACACCTCAACAAGTGAAAGTCCAAACATATACATTAAAACCAAATAATTAAAACATGTAAATCTTAAAAATTATAACTGTATTCTCAATTTGCTTCTGAACGATAAATAAACACTGGACTTGTCTCCATTTTTAGTTAATTCCCATCTTGGAGGAGACAGACTAAATGAATAAAGCTATATATAAAGAAGTAAATGCAATACCTGAATCTCTCATGTAATGAATTTCATCAAAGATGACCCAGGCAACTTCACGCATGACCTCAGAACCTCTATAAAGCATACTTCTCAAAATCTAAAAAAAAGAATAAAATTATGCAAATGATGTATTAAGCAAACACATCTAGATGGAAACGAACTATTTTGGAGACATGAGAAAACCCAAAAAACAGTGTAGATTATAAATAAAACTAACTAAATACAGAGAGTTAGATCCAACCGTAACCATGCTTAAAGTAGACATAATGGAATCAATTAGTAATTGAAGTGCTATAAACTGCCCTAATCCAATGTCGACAAGGTCTGGATATAACCCAGTAAGTCAAATTTCTGAACCTCTTAAAAAATATTGTTAAACAGGTATCAACATTTAGCATTTTAAAAAATACCCAGGACTGAAAGCCATGTTTTGGAGACCTTTCACAAGCACTGAGTAGAAACAACTACATAGTAAATTACATTACATACCAAAAAGGATCAGATGGCAAAAGAGAATTTAAAATGATTCAGCGCAATTCATTGGGATTATCCCATTCATTATCTCTTCTACGTGTCCCTCCCTATATTTTTCATAACACAAACCTATCCTATAATCTTAAACACACTTATCTGACAATAATCTCCACTGAACACAACAGAACATACTTCTCAGTAGATGAGAACAGAATGCATTATCGTTCCAACAGAGAACCAATACAGAGACAATACAGGATTAATTAACAAAACTCACTTCGGTTGTCATTACAAGGCAAGATGCTGTAGGGTTGATGGTGACATCTCCAGTCATTAAACCAACATCTTGAAATTCTTCATACATCTCACGATATTTTTGGTTACTTAGAGCTTTAATTGGACTGGTAAAGATCACACGCTGTTTTTCCCTCAAAGCCAATGCAATAGCATATCTGGAATTCAAATATAATTGCATATTCATTATACTTGCAACATCCTACATTTCTATAATGTATATGGAGGATTTTGTAGAAGGGTTACATTTTGAAATAAATGAATACATTTTTTTCTCTATAGGCTGAAACCTAAAGTAAAAGCACCCAAAATACTCTTAATTAATTAATTATATCAAAATAACAGCTGAGCTGGCATTATTGTAATATGTGCCCACTTTTAAGGAAGTCCACATGTTTCCTAACAAAAATCTATGAAATCCATATCTCATTGCTCTCCTAATTAAACAAGGGATTTGTTTTTGTTTTTTTCCCAAATCTATTTTATTAAAGGTGAAAAAGGGAAATCAGGGGCAAGGGACTCCAGACAAAAGGAGAGGAAGGGTAATCGTACATGTAAAGTGGGGGAACAATAAAATAATAGGGAAGTAGGAGACATATAGCAGAAATAGGAAAATATATATAAAAAGATATAAAAAGAATGAAAAAGAAAAAAAAAGACTTGTATCAAAAATTGAAGGGAAAAATATATGAAAAAAGATAAAAGTATTAAAAAGTCTGTTGACTTCCATCCAGTCCTTTGCGGCTTTACCTTTATCTAAAAAAATGTCTATTGAGGGTGCAGTTTCATAATAAATCAGTGAAGTAAATCGGCTCTTCTTATATCACTAATGCCTACTAATGTCTTCTGTTATAACTATTGTTATAACTATGTTAAAGTTTAGGCTATTGCTAATTTGAAACCTTTTGATAATTTGAATAAGGACCATATAAAGTTTTGCTGTTTTAAATGAAGCATTTTGGTTTATTCCTATATAACATATAAGGCATACAAAAACATTGCTATTAATACAAAGGAAATTTCTTACTTTGGAAATGTGAGTATAAATGATATATGAATAAACTGCTAAGACTGTGAGGTGCCAAGTTATACAACAAAGCTAGCCATGCAGTTTTAAAAATAATAATCAGGAAGCTGCCAAGTCGTAATTCATTTTCCTAACTCCCAACCTCTCTAGATTTTCTTTGTAACTCACAATCTCACACATCGTTTTTGTTTTGTGTATTTTGATATATATTTTATGGAGGTATGTTTTAATATGTGTATTTTACAGTGTTTTAAATGATTATGTGTTTGTTTATGTTTTACTAATGCTGCACCCCACCTTAAGCCATGAGGAAAGGCAGACAAGAAATAAAACTATCATCATCATCATCATCATCTAGGAGCCAAATGTACCATTTTTAACAATGTTGGGTTCCTCTCATACCTATTTCTTTGATCCACAGCAACCTTCTGCTTAAATTTTAAGGTTTAAACTACAAGAAACTACATTTGTTTCTTAAATCTGAATGGAGGAAAAAAATACGAGGACATACTGGAATACTAAAGAGCACGGAGTTCAGTAGACACCCCCCTTTTCATCTAACCTCGCTTCCACCCCAGATAGCCTGAAACAGACATATAAACACCGCAGCTTGTGCCTACAGAGGTGACCATATCTGCTGAGGCAGGACTTGTGCCAGACAGAGACAAAGAAAAAGAACTAAGTAACGAAGGTAGAAAGGTGGCAGTCAATTTACCAAAACAGCAACTAGAGATCAGCTAGTTACTTGTAGAAGATGTTACACAACACTGGAAACAGAAATAGTGTTTCTCTTAGGAAAAAATGGTTGCGGGAAAATATCGCATTTATTTTAAAACTCACCAAAGAAATACTTACTCTGCACATACTGTTTTTCCTGCTGATGTATGAGCAGAAACTAAAACCGACTGATTGTTATCCACACACAGAATAGCTTCTCTTTGAAAAGCATCAAGAATGAATGGATATTCCTGGAAAGAAAGCACACCGTCATGCACTCCTTATACACTGTCCATCTCCTTTGCACAACAGGAAAATAATATTTCAGCTTCAATTATACCATATTAATTCTTCAACCCAACTGCATTTCAGTTAAAATTTTAATTTAGAAGAGATAAATCAGTATGCTACATCTGTTATATTTGGAGCACAATTTTAGTTCAACGAACATATTCACATACATGCTTTACAGTCCAAAGCATGGAGGAGTTTATGCTCTGTAACAACAAACAGTGCAGACTTCTCAGATGAAGGATGCACAGGCCTCAAAAGCCTAGGAACTGATTATTCTAGATTCTCCAAAGGCCATACCAGGCCCATCTCTCACCCAAAACCAAAAATATAAATCCACTTTTAGTTCTGGAAAAGTCCTGCTTGAGAAGGCTGGAGCAGATCAAAGGTTGCAAGTGTTGCTTTAAAGAGAAGTTGTTCCATTAGTCAGTTTTCCTTTTTCCAGCCTCTTTCTCCCTCATCTGAGGCGTAAGAGAGGAATCTTATGGCAGAAAGCCACCCATAAAACTCATTCTGTCTAATTCATGCCTAGCATCTTAAAAGGTGAACTGAATATAGTTGATAAATTTTGGAAATGGAAAGCTCCATTAAATGCAATTAATTTAAAATTTGAAAACCAGATGTTTTAGAGAAAGTTTCAGAATTCACTATCCAAAATCAACTGCAGTAACAATTCTGTTTTTCTCCAAATCATTTTATTGAAAATTCCATTATTTAAGTTATTGAATATGAACGTATAAGTTCAGAAATAAATACTGAACAACTATTAACTTACAAACTAGTGCTAACCTCTAAATTCAAGCCAGATCTTCTTAATGCAACTTTCAAACAATATCACCACCAGTAAGATCTTTAGGAACACGCAAATCATCCAAACAAGAAGTGTGAGATAAAATTATGTTTTAAAACATGCAATTCCTTCTATATATTTATACATACCACCCTCCCTCCCTCCATTTTTCTCTACTAGCTATAAAATAAAGGGGAAGGCTCCAAAATCACAAACCTTTGCAGCTTTCCCAGTTCTTGGCTTAAGGGCTATGAAATCTTCATCCGCAGGAAGAGCAACCTATTTTTTTTAAAGAAATTAAATCTGTTAATAATAGTAATAATAATAATAATAATATCCTTTCTTTCCTTGCTTAATATACATTTGAAATTACATTTAAATCCATATCTCACTCATACTAAAAATTCTATATATGCTTGCAATAAGCAGAAAAAAATCAAAATTAAACGAATTGTTGCTGAAAAGGCACAAAGAAAATATAATACAATATTCCCTAAGGAAGTTTCTAGTTTTTTATGAAGAAACAAAATTCTTTAAAAGTTGAAGTCATCTCAGTTTCTTTGCATGTTAATCAGTAGCAGTTAATTCAATGAAGTAGGCAATGGAATCGGTTGTTATTTTTCATGTGAACTTGGCAGTTCCTCTGAATGCACTTCGGGTCAACGAACTGGTGAAAATTACTAGGAAGGAGTCTCGTTCGATGGTCTATTGTTGGGCTCCAGGTTTGGAGCAAAATGAAACATCACCATCCATTTTACACTTACCTCATGTGTACAGCCTTCAACAGTTTCTACTGCTTGCACCTTTACTTTTGGCATCAGGTCGGCCAAACTGAAAATAAAACTATAAATTAGTCCTTGCAAACAATTACAAACATACTAATTAAAGCAGAATATACTTCTAGACTTAAATTTAAGCACTGCAACAAAAGGGATGGAGCCACCAGGTTCCCTATGTCAAAGCCAGGAGTTTCAAAAAGAAGCACTCCAAGTAGGACTCCTACTGGTCAAAGGACGTTTAATAGAATGCCAAATGTGCAAAGTTTGTGGTATTTTTATTATTTAAATACAATACAACTGTTTGATTCACTCCTGACATGATAAATAAAATAAGCTTGATATTCTGGGTTACATGGCTGTGTGGAAAGGCACCAAGGTATCCTGAAAGGGTTGCCATGTCAAGCTTCTTAAAAATAGAATCACAGAGTTTGAAGAGACCTCATGGGCCATCCAGTCCAACCCCTGCCAAGATGCAGGAAAATTGCATTCAAAGCACCCCCAACAGATGGCCATCCAGCCTCTGTTTAAAAGCTTCCAAAGAAGGCGCCTCTACCACGCTCTGGGGCAGAGAGTTCCAATGCTGAACAGCTTTCATAGTCAGGAAGTTCTTCCTAATGTTCAGATGGAATCTCCTTTTTTGTAGTTTGAAGCCATTGCTCCGCATCCTACTCTCTAGGGCAGCATATTGGTTAAAAAAGCTTAAATACACACACATATTTATAAAAACCTCTCTTACAAAATAATGGCTTTTTGCTGCATTTTTCTTTGTAGAGTTTCCAAACAACAACCATTTCTATATATATACACTTTCACCCTTGTAAATATTTCCAAATAAACTAATTAAAAAGTTAATTGTTACTTCATATCTTCCGCAGTGAAATCATCCAACTTTGGCTTCTTCCCCAAAACTGCAATGTCTCCATTATCAGCCTCTTCCTCTCGTTTTGTTTTTGCTGGGACTTTAGCAGGCGCTGTAGATTTGCCCTCTGATCGCTTCCTGAAATCCAAACATCAGAAGAGGTCACTTCAAGTAAATAAGCATGACCCAAACAAAACTGGTGTTAACTTCAATTGAAGTTGAATCCAGACAAGACAGAGGTCCTCCTAGTCAGTCGAAAGGCTGAACAAGACATAGGGTTACAGCCTGTGTTGGATGGGGTTACAATCCCCCGAAGATGCAGGTTCGCAGTTTGGGAGTGATCCTGGACTCATCACTGAGCCTGAAACCCTAGGTTTCAGCGGTGACCAGGGGAGCTTTTGCACAGTTAAAGCTTGTGTGCCAGCTGTGCCCATACCTTGGGAAGTCTGATCTGGCTACAGTGGCCCATGCTCTTGTTACATCCTGAATAGATTACTGCAATGCACTCTACGTGGGGCTGCCTTTGAAGACTGTTCGGAATTACAACTAGTCCAATGGGCAGCAGCCAAATTGTTAACTGGGGCGACATACAGGGAGTATACCACCCCCTTGTGTCAGCTCCACCCGCTGCCGGTCAACTTCCGAGCTCAATTCAAAGTGCTGATTTTGACCTATAAAGCCCCGGTTCTGGCCCAGCTTACTTGTCCGAATGCACCTCCCTCCCCGTCCCGCCTCGCAGTTTAAGATCATCCGGGGAGGCCCTGCTCTTGCTCCCGGCAGCGTCACAAGTACGTTGGGCGGGGATGAGACAGGGCCTTCTCGGCTGTGGCCCACCACCTGTGGAACTCGCTTCCCACTGAGGTAAGATCAGCTCCGTCCCTCCTGTCATTTAGGAAGAAATTGAAGACCTGGTTCTGGGACCAGGCTTTTGAGCAACAGACATAAATAGCACATGGACATGGAATTGGTTGTGAAATTGACTGGAATAATGTTACGGCTATTAATACTGTTTTTTACTGTTTTAATGAATGTTTTACTTATTGTTTTAATTGTTATTATATTGCTGTGTTATAAGTAATGGCATCGGATTGCGGCCAAATGTAAGCCGTCCTGAGTCCCCCTTTGGGGATTCCGAAGGAATGGGTTAGAAATACCAGAAATAAATATAGCCTATATATATAAAAATGCTCTGTGCATAATGAGTACCTTAAAAACAAAAGAACCAATGAACGAAATCACACCAAATTTGGCAACAAAACATCTCACTACACAAGGAGTGACCATCACTCAAAAAATTATGATTTTGTCATTTGGGAGTTGCAGTTGCTGGGATTTATAGTTCACCTACAATCAAAGTGCATTCTGAACTCCACCAATGATGGAATTGAACCAAATTTGGCACACAGAACTCCCATGACCAACAGAAAATACTAGCAGCGTTTGGTGGGCATTGATCTTGAGTTTTGGAGTTGTAGTTCACCTACATCCAGAGAGCACTGTGGACTCAAACAATGATGGATCTGGACCAAACTTGGCACGAATATTCCATATGCCCAAATATGAACACAGATGGAGTTTGGGGGAAATAGAACTTGACATTTGGGAGTTGTAGTTGCAAGGATTTATAGTTCACCTACAATCACAGAGCATTCTGAACCCCACAAACGACAGAAATGGGGCAAACTTTCCACACTGAACCACAGAAAATACTTAAGGCCATTCAGTCCAACTCCCTTCCCCAGGGCAAGAAAACGTAACCAAAGCCCTCCTGACAGAGAGCCATCCAGCCATAGATATAGATAGATATATATGATTCACACACACACAGATAAAGTATTATAGATTTGAAAGGGACCCCTAAAGAAGGACAATGATATGTTGCATGTTCCAGAGTAGGAAAACCAGACAATTTCCACATTAACACTGACAAAGAAATACTGTTTACCCACAAGCATGAAGACATTACATATATTACATATAAAATCAGCACTTTCTAGTTGCTTTATTTTCCATATCACCAGACTGGGCCACAGCAACACGTGGCAGGGGAGGGCTAGGAAATAATAATAATTCCCATTGGTCCGGGTCTGGGTAAACTTCAGTCCTCCAGGTGTTTTGGACTCCAACTCCCACCATTCCTAACAGCCTCAGGCCCCTTCCTTAAGCGGCTGAGGGGGAAAAGGAAAGAGGCTGTTAGGAATGGTGGGAGTTGGAGTCCAAAACACCTGGAGGAAGGCCCAAGTTGGGTGCTGCCTCAGGAAGAGGGCAGCCGCTCTCTACTTCGTCCCATCTTCCTCACCCAGCTTTGCCCACAGGGCCAGCAACTGCCTCGGGGGCTCCCTTCGTCTTCTTCGAGGCCGAGGCGGAGGCATCTTCCTCGAACACGCTGAACAGCTCGTCCCCGAAGGCGTCCGCCATCTTTCCTCACAACCGCCTGCCGCCTCTTCCCACCATGCACCGCGCGCAAGCACATAGAGTTAGAAAATACGCACGGCAGGCAACCTAAACTTCCGGTATGCATTCCACATCACCATTGCACCGTAGAGACCAAAACAGATAGAGAAGGCACGGGCAAGCATGGGCTCTCCAGGTGTTTTGGACTTCAGTTCCCACAATTCCTAACAGCCTATGGCAAACCCAAGTTTTCCCAGACTTACACGGAAATACTACTTTTAAAATTAACACCAACTTCAGAGGGATCAATCCGTGAATATTAAGAAAAAAAGGCAATTTCAGTTAAATACAGACAAAATACAGACATGAGGAACATGAGGAAGAACTTCCTGACTGTGAGAGCCGTTCAGCAGTGGAGCTCTCTGCCCCGGAGTGTGGTGGAGGCTCCTTCTTTGGAAGCTTTCAAACAGAGGCTGGATGGCCATCTGTCAGGGGTGATTTGAATGCAATATTCCTGCTTCTTGGCAGGGGGTTGGACTGGATGGCCCATGAGGTCTCTTCCAACTCTTTTTGATTCTATGAGTAGATCAATAGGTTCCTCTCCGACGGGAAGATAACAGCACTCCATGCAGTCATGCCAGCCACATGACCTTGGAGGTGTCTACGGACAATGCTGGCTCTTCGATTTAGAACTGGAGATGAGCACCAACGCCCAGAGTCAGACACGACTGGACTCAATGTCAGCTGACAACCTTTACCTTTTCCTATATGGACACAATGATAAAAACTTGGAAAAGTTACTTTTTTGCCTTAAAAAAAACCTCTCAAAGGTCTCCAGCCATCATCGGACCCTTGAGATTGGAAATCCATACTCTGTTGAAACTACCTTTTATATTATTATTATTATATTGTCGAAGGCTTTCATGGCTGGAATCTCTGGGTTGTTGTAGGTTTTTTTCGGGCTATATGGCCATGGTGTAGAGGCATTCCCTCCTGACGTTTTGCCTGCATCTATGGCAAGCATCCTCAAAGGTAGTGAGGTCTGTTGGAACTAGGAAAAAGGGTTTATATACCTGTGGAATGACCAGGGTGGGACAAAGGACTCTTGTCTGCTGGAGCTAGGTGTGACTGTTTCAACTGACCACCTTGATTAGCATGATTAGTTTGCCTGGAGCAAACTTTTGTTGAGAGGTGATTAGATGTCCTTGTTTGTTTCCTCTCTGTTGTTGTGCTCTTGTAATTTTAGAGTTTTTTTAAATACTGGTAGCCAGATTTTGTTCATTTTCATGCTTTCCTCCTTTCTGTTGAAATTGTCCACATGCTTGTGTATTTCAATTATTATTATTATTATTATTATTATTATTATAAACTACCTTTTTTCTGTAATGGGGACAGGAGAGGGGAAAAAAAAGACTTGGGGCCCTTCCATACAGCCTCACCCCTACCAACCCCAGACACCCCTCCTTTCTGAGGACCAAGATCTATTGGAAATTCCCAGCGTCAAGACCTTGCGTCTAACAGCAACAGACGCAGAACCTTTCCATCACTCTGGAATACTCTGCCACCTGAAGTCCGTGCCTTGCGGGACTTATCAGCTTTCCGCAGGGCATGTAAGACATACCTGTTTCGACAGGCTTTTGATTTTTAATATTGCTGTTTTAAAATTGTTTAAAATTGTTTTTAAATTGTGTTAGATTTTAGCCATTTTTGTAAGCCGCTCCAAGCCCCAGGGGAGTGGCGGCATATAAGTTCAAATAATAAATAAATAAATAAATAAATATAATCCGGAATATCAAGACAGATAATCCACAATATTTACTTTGAACTGGGTTATCTGAGTCCACACTGCCATATAGCAGTGTGGAAGGAGCATTCAGTTAATGAAGTTTGACGCCACTTTATTATACTATGTAACAATATTTGATTTTTTTTCCTGTTCCTGATTTGAAAGTGTGGAAAGGCATATGACTGTGTGACACAGTCCTATATCCCAGAATATCAAGGAGGAAATCCCACAATATCTGCTTTGAACTTGGTTATCTGAGCCCACACTCAAGATAATGTGGGATTTTCTGCTTTGATATTCTGGGATATTCAAACTACAAGAGAGGAGATTCCATCTGAACATGAGGAAGAACTTCCTGACTAGGTTGTTGTGGGTTTTTTCGGGCTATATGGCCTCACCTCTGAGGATGCTTGCCATAGATGCAGGCGAAATGTCAGGAGAAATGCCTCTAGAACATGGCCATATAGCCCGAAAAAACCCACAAGAACCTAGTGATTCCAGCCATGAAAGCCTTCTACAACTTCCTGACTGTGAGAGCCGTTCAGCAGTGGAACTCTCTGCCCCGGAGTGTGGTGGAGGCTCCTTCTTTGGAGGCTTTTAAACAGAGGCTGGATGGCCATCTGTCAGGGGTGCTTTGAATGCAATATTCCTGCTTCTTGGCAGGGGGTTAGACTGGATGGCCCATGAGGTCTCTTCCAACTATTTGATTCTATGATTCTGTGATGCTATAGGGCTGTGTGAAAGGTTCCTTAGGAGAAAGTGTGACAGTGTTCCTTGTTTTGCTTCAGGACCACTGTGGGCGGAAGCGGGTGCAGGAAGGCGTCAGGCGTCGTGCGTGCCCGCCTCTTCAGGTGGACCAATCGGGAAGGCGCCCGTGCGTGCCCGCCTCTGCGGTTGGACCAATCGGGAAGGCGCTCGCCTGGGTACCCGGATGTAAGCTCAGCCGGCGCGAGGTCTTTTGTGGAGAGTAGAGGCGAGAACAGCGGGACGGACGGACGGCTGTCATGGGCGGCAAGAACAAAAAGCACAAGGCCGCCAGCGGGGCCGCGGGAGCCTCCGCCGTCCACCCCGCTGCCGTGGCGGCCGCCAGGGCCAAAGTGGTCGCCGCTGCCGCAACCGGGGCGGAGTCCGGAGCCGCCGGAGAGGCTGCCGGCAAGAGAGGAGCAGCTGCGGCGGCGCCTCGGCCGAGCCCGGCCTTAAAGGACCCGCGCCTCAAGCAAGGCAGGTCTACCAAGGGAGGGCGCCTCATTCCACACCAGGAAGAAGCAGCTTGGGGCCCTCCAGGTGTTTTGGACTCCAACTCCCACCATTCCTAACAGCCTCAGGCCCTTTCCTTTGCCCCCTCAGCCGCTTAAGCGGCTGAGGGGGCAAAGGAAAGGGCCTGAGGCTGTTAGGAATGGTGGGAGTTGGAGTCCAAAACACCTGGCAGGCCCAAACTTGCTCCTGCCTGCTCTAATCTCCTTTAACATTTCTTTCTTCTATTCTCTAGGTCCCAAAACATACAGCTTGGGTTCTCCATCTGATTGCAGTGGTTCTGCAAACACCGATAAATCTATTCTGAAGGTAAGGCTGCCTATTATTAGGAAGAGATGTGTTTTTGTATTTTGTTTGAGTAGCAAATATGCTGGCAAATAGAGGGAGAAAACGTGGATGCAGTGACAGGTTTTGTATTACTGCAGACGTGGACTGTTGGCATCTACAACCTTCTTTAAGCCTTCTCTAGTAATGTTTATCTTTGATCTGGTGACTTACTGTTTCCTGTATGTCTGCTCTGGTATGCAGCTATCTTTATTCTATGGTTTCTGAGAAGTTTTCTAGGTGCGAAGATGTGGACTGTTGGAAATGACAAGCCTTCTCTAGTATTGTTTATCTGTGATCCTGTTGTTTACTGTTTTCTGAATTGATTGATTTACGACATTTATATGGTGCCCTTCTCATCTTGAAGGGGACTCAGAGCGGCTAACAAGATATATATAATATATATACACACACATACATACATACATATACATACACAAACACACAATATATTATTTTAGTATAGTACATTATCAGTATTAAATATTACTATATAGTACTATAACATTATATCATAATATTATTAGTAGTATTACATGTAATCTAAATATATAATTACTAGCCGTCCCCTGCCACGCGTTGCTGTGGCTCACATGGGGGTCCTGTGTGGGAGGTTTGGCCCAATTCTATCGTTGGTGGGATTCAGAATGCTCTGTGATTGTAAGTGAACTATAAATCCCCGTAACTACAACTCCCAAATGTCAAGGTGTATTTCCCCCAAACTCAATCTGTGTTCATATTTGGGCGTATTGAGTGCTTGTGCCAAGTTTGGTCCAGATCCATCATTGTTTGAGTCCACAGTGCTCTCTGGATGTAGGTGAACTACAACTCCCAAACTCAAGGTCAATGCCCACCAAACCCTTCCAGTATTTTCTGTTGGTCATGGGAGTTCTGTGTGCCAAGTTTGGTTCAATTCCATCGTTGATAGATTTCAGAATGCTCTTTGATTGTAGGTGAACTATAAATCCCAGCTACTACTCCCAAATGACAAAATCATAATTTTTTGAGTGATGGTCACTCCTTGTGTTGTGAGATGTTTTGTTGCCAAATTTGGTGTGATTCCGTTCATTGGTTCTTTTGTTTGTAAGGTACTCATTATGCACAGAGCATTTTTATAAATGTGAGAAGCATTTAAACACCATTATGCTGGCAAATAGAGGGAGAAAACGTGGATGCAGTGATAGGCTTTGTATTACTGCAGGCGTGGATTGTTGGCATCGACAACCTTCTTTAAGTCTTCTCTAGTAATGTTTATCTATGCTCCAGTGACTTACTGTTTCCTGTATGTATGCTCTGGTATGCAGCTACCTTTACTCTATGGTTCCTGAGAAGTTTTCTAGGCATGAAGATTACTGCAGACGCGCACTGTTGGAAATGACAAGCCTTCTCTGTGATGCTGTTGTTTACTGTTTTAGTTATTTATTTATGACATTTATATGCCACCCTTCTCACCCCAAAGGAGACTCAGAGTGGCTTACAAGATACATATACATAGAATCGTAGAGTTGAAAGACCTCATGGTCCAACCCCCTGCCAAGAAGCAGGAATATTGCATTCAAATCACCCCTGACAGATGGCCATCCAGCCTCTGTTTAAAAGCTTCCAAAGAAGGAGCCTCCACCACACTCCAGGGCAGAGAGTTCCACTGCTGAACAGTTCTCACAGTCAGGAAGTTCTTCCTCATGTTCAGATGGA